CCCGCCCCCGATTAGAGGTCATTCACTGATATGAAAGGTTAAAATGGTGCACCAAAATCGTAATTGTTTTATTTTTTTATTTTTTGACAAACCACGTTACATTTTGAACTTTCTTCATAATTCATAAATGTGATGTTTTGTGAAATACTAAATTTATATATTATTAAAATGGCAAGCACATACAGTGTAGTTGAACAATAGGTCACTGTGATATTGTTATCTATCGGCTTCAACAAAGAATGAATTTATTGGTCATTGTGATATTGTTATCTATCGGCTTCAACAAAGAATGTATTCATAGGTCACTGTGATATTGTTATATATCGGCATCAACAAAGAATGTATTTATAGGTCAATGTGATATTGATATATATAGGCTTCAACAAAGAATGTATTTATAGGTCACTGTGATATTGTTATATATCGGCTTCAACAAAGAATGTATTCATAGGTCACTGTGATATTGTTATAAATCGGCTTCAACAAAGAATGTATTCATAGGGCACTGTGATATTGTTATCTATCTGCTTTAACAAAGAATGTATTTATAGGTCAATGGGATATTGATATATATAGGCTTCAACAAAGAATGTATTCATAGGTCACTGTGATATTTTTATCTATCGGCTTCAACAAAGAATGAATTTATTGGGCATTGTGATATTGTTATCTATCGGCTTCAAACAAGAATGTATTTATAGGTCACTGTGATATTGTTATCTATCGGCTTCAAAAAAGAATGTATTTATAGGTCACTGTGATATTGTTATAAATCGGCTTCAACAAAGAATGTATTTATAGGTCACTGTGATATTGTTATAAATCGGCTTCAACAAAGAATGTATTTATAGGTCACTGTGATCTTGTTATCTATCGGCTTCAACAAAGAATGTATTTATAGGTATCTTAACAAAGAGAAATCGGGGTTGGTGGGAGCGGAGTTTTGGTAGGGGATTGCTTTCTCCATACTTTGTTTTCATCACTTTCAAATATATGTATTATATGTATGCTTGCCTCTAAGACAGCTTTGTAAAAACTGGAAATGGTATATATTCTTTTGTACAGTAAACAGCCGTTGTCTAGAAAGCAGGCGATTTACTATATTGGTATCCGAGATACAACAATGCAAGTCCGATGCTACGTATGATAAGTCACTACTACTCCATGAACTATGAGGCAAGTATGGATAAGGAATTAACTTCATTTTGAAGGCGTAAACGGTAGTATGAACGCAGTTGGCAACAAACATATTCTACGGTGAACGTTAGAGTATGCTCGATTGAGGAAAGAAGGAATATAACTATTTCTCTTTGACGGTAACGTAAACAATAGCTACTTTGTTCTGAAAAATTCGACCGCGTCACTCCATGAACAGTGTGTCAATGCGCTTACATGACGACTGTTATAAACTAAATACAATTGTTCGAAGGGCTTCTCCCATTACTTAATTTGAAATCCAATAGCTATGACAGGAAGAAAAATAATGTCGTACACTGTGGATTTTCTAAATTTGCTCATTTATCGATGTAGATTCACTGGAACTATATTATCCTAGCAACCACGGCTACCGTAGTTACCATCGTAACAACCTGCTTCGACTGTGTTTCCTGAGTATTGTAACATGTTGTGGACGTAAATAAGGATTGAGCTTGAATTTGACGGCGTATCATAGAATATGCTCGTCGCCACCTGCGTTCACACTACCGTTAGTCCGAATTATTCTGACGTTTTATTGACTTTTTTTATATTGGTCTGTCGTCGATTAACGTCAGAACTCCGGTCCTCTATAATATGCGGGAAATAAGCACCTTTTAATGCCACGTGACTAAAATCTCGCCGGTCTACGTCATAACGTTGGGAAATATCTTCGGTAACGCGAGATCTCGTCAAGTCATGTGACATTGCTCATGCCCTTATTTCCATTAAAAACATGGGTTGGTATAGAAAACGTTGGAAAATACTTTTCGTAATGATCTTTAAAACATGTTATTGATACACCCAGTGCATAAAGAATAAATCTTTCGATCCATGTGAAAGTGACGATTTGATTCTAAAATATCGGGTCGCTTATTTCCCGCATATTATAGAGGGCCGGAGTTCTGACGTTAATCGACGACAGACCAATATAAAAAAAAGTCGATAAAACGTCAGAATAATTCGGAGTAACTACCGTATACGCAGTCAAAATGAAGGTCAATCGTTATTGGATGTGCATCCATGGAAAAAAAGTTTGCAAGCATCCCTTTGTTTTATAATAAGACATAACGGATCCCGAATATGTTCCATATATTTAGATGTTGAATGAAGTTGTCACCGAACTGTTACATTGATCTTGCTGAAGCATGAAAGGCGCCATCTTTGAAACGGCTTGTTCTCAGTTCCCCACTTTTTAAAATGATATGGGGGGAAGAATGTTGTTAGAAGGATTATAGTCTGTGCCTGAATAGTATTGGCAGTATTTATCTGGGTGGTTAATCCTTCTATCTAGTAGGATGGTGTTATATCTAAGGTGGAAGCTGATCATACATAATTTAATAATACGTCATATAAGACTCTAAATTTTTTAAAAGCAAATATATATTTAAAATATTTCGATATTAATTATATCAAAAAATATATATAGATATAATATATTCATTCTGTAGTCAATGTGCTTCTGATATGACATATGATAAGATGAAATGTGTTATTTTATTTTGTAATATTTTTGTACTTTAAACATATCATTAAAATAATAATATAAATAGTTATAAAATGTTATTATTGTAACATTTAATAAGATGCCTAAATACCTAGTAAGAATGGTTATGTGTGACTAAGAATATGGTGTTTAACAGTTGATAATTCAACTTCAAAAAAAGAAATTCATCTAAATTCCTAGATGATAGAAGTATATTAAAACTATCATAAAAATCCTTGAATATCTATAACTATTCAAGCTTTCATTTCCATCCTGGTGAGCTGGAAGTGATCACAGTCTATGCTAAGTAGTGAGATAGTGATGAGTTTTACCATTATCTATACGCACACCTTGTGAACCGGACGATGGGTTTTATGGAGTAGCGAACTAAGCATCACATCCCTTACATCTGGGATAGATTACAACAGAAATGTGTGACACTTAACTGTCGGACTGTAGTGTATATTTGCGATAATAACAGTTCTTTTTTTTGCTTGGCAATTTTTATTATGACGCAACGATCCCATTTTAATTTTTTTAGCATCCTTTGTTTGTGTTTAAATAATAAATACAATTACTAGTGCCAATTGGAGGGTAAAACAATTCATAAATATCATTTAAAATTATGTCTTATCTACAAAGCGTAGTTGTACTGCCCACGTGTGCAGAAATTTGATGACATGATTCCATAGAAGATAAATCAATATGTATGTTATTAAAATAATAATATACACAGAAAAGCTACAAGTCAGACAGGAAACTTTCACACAGGTAAGTTACCTGTTGGGTAAGTATGAAACAGACTATAATTGGTTTGCCATTGTCTTCCTATATCAACACTTTTCTTTGTTCTCTAAAACGTGGGGGAATTGAGAAGGTTTGTTCTCCTTTCTCCCACTTTTTTCTGATCAAAGGAATTATATAAACACTGGAAAACAATAGAGGTGTCATTATAATCTGTTCTGGTATAGTACAGGTAGATTATTTACCTGTATTTACCTGTTCACCAATAGGAAATACTGCATTAGTTATGGGAATATTTAACAAATATATTTCCTGATTTTTCGTAATATTTTCTGGAATTATGAATAAATATATACAATATTCCAGTTATTACTTAATAAAAACACATCAAAATACATTAACTGAAAACCCGCTTTTATGAATTTCATATTAAATGAATTTTATACATTTTTACTATACATTTACATGTATGTTATATATATATTTCATAAAATAGAACTAAATTTAACAAGCAATTTATGACAAATACAATCGGTTAAGACAGAGATCATGTATTACATTATTAAATATGCAAAAACAGATGCAAAGCTGGGAATGAAAATAAATAAAACGAATTAATTACATGTACACATGGAATA